CAGCATAGCCATGACCGTCTCAGAAAATGGCAAAATTCTGTAGTTCTGTGAAGAGTATGTTGTTGGTGGACACACATGCATATCTCTCTCTAACCCCTTGCTCTACGCCAAATTGCCCTAAATCTGTAAAAATATTCAGAAGCTAGATCTACCTCAGGCTTTTATTGACATCATTTTATCTCAAGATGATGAACCCAATGTTTATCTTGACAGCTTTTACAATGGACTTCTTCGGAAATCAATAATCATAAGCAATGCAGATAAAATATTTTTACAGAAAAATACAAAATGCTAAGCATTGCATGAAAACAGGTACACTGGTTAATAAGGATGTGACCCGCATATGAATATTTAATTTTCAGACAGCAAATTATATTCCAAGTCTAAACCAACTGGATCATTGCATTTTGGAGAAAGGGAAACTTTCCTGGGAAATTAATGGCCAATTCCAAGTTATATCTTAGTTTACAAGTAAAGCTTTTTCCTTAGTCAATGAATAAAAAAATACAAGGCTAGCTGAGCCCTCATTCTGCAGAGGACACCGATGTCTCAAGTCCCTGAACTGATGCAGTTGGCTCACGGGAGGCTGTCCCCAATGTTTTTGCTAAGTAAGAAAAGTATTTTCCCTATTGATGGGAGTTAAAAATTTTTATTAAAAATATATTAGTCACAGAAAAATAAAATGGAATGTCACAGGCACATGTTCTGGCAAAGTCCTCGTGATAGACACTTACCGTAAGAGGCCTTTCCATCTCCTCAGCATTTCACACACATCAATAAATGGTTGTCATTGACAAGGAGTTTAATATGCAGAATACCCCAGAGGCCTCTGTTATCTCCCAGACTGTTCAGCATTGATGTGGAGCCTCTTGATGAGATTTTTCAACACCAGGAAGTAACATATGTATAATCGGCTTGTCTAACCTGCTGTCACTCTCCCAAGGGATTCCAGACATTCGGTCTCTCCTCCCCAGAGGTTCTCAAATGTGACTGCCACTTGGGCTGAGCTGAGTTCCCTCATCTCAACCAAAGGAATGAATAAATCCAGTTATTGGGAAAATTTAAGCAAGAGTGATATAAGTTCCCAAAAGCTGAAACAAATAACATCAGGATTGGTATCAATAAGAAATTTGCTGTTGAAAGCTATGTTTCTGACACAATTTGTAAGTACACTTTGCGAGTACAGTTTGCATATCTATACGAAGACATTCCTGCTTTTTTGGTTTCAGCATCTCCCATAAAGAGTTCCCACCATAGTTGAGATCACTTAGAAAATAGGTTTTGAAGTCTTGAGTTCAAGCCTAAACCCTGAGATATGTGACCATTTGGCTGGTTTCCTAGACTAGAAAAGGGAAGCCAGCAGGTTTTGAAAACTAGGGTTATAAAGTTTTAGGAGTTGGAAAGCTGAAATTTAATTTTTTATAATATCTCTAATATCACATCTCCTATCTTTCCCACAAGTGAAATGGGAAAACTTAGTGATAGGTGATCAAAGAAGGGTTGCTGTTAGCAGTTAGTTAGAGAACATACCTTAAATACATTTTGCAAACTATAAAGCATTCCATAAATGCTTCTTATTCATGCAACTATAACGATCACTGCTTTTCATGGACAGAAGGGAGTAGAAGAATATTTTGAGTTTTCAGGGAAAGGCTAAGGTGTATAGAATAGCATTTTCTTTCTGTGCTCTACAAAATTTTTTGTATGTATTAGGTGTATGCTTTTACCAGAGTTACAAAAAGAAAAGTGTCCCTAACGGTGGGCCTCTGCTTGGTTTCTGCTGACGACTGACTCTTCTCCAATTCTTGCAGTCTGCCCTTCTCCGAGTGAAAAATAACTGAGCTAGACTTTCCTGAGAGTCACATGAGGAGACTGGGGTATCAGATAAAGAGGAAGCCAAAGATAAGTCTTTGCAGATTCATGAGCTATTTCATCCTTTAAATGAAGAATTCTGAGTATAGTATAGTTCCTCTCAAGGCGTCAGAGAGAGGAGACTGGCTGGTTGCATCTAAGGACATGAGAAATTGAGGGAAAGAAGAGTCCAGACGTTTAGCTGGAACTGAATGAAACAGGGTATGATTAGAAGGAAGTTCTCTGTAACTCCTGATCTCTATGAATTTACAACCTGGTATTTGGCTGTTCTTCAGTCATTTAATCTGGATTCAATCACAAACAATAGTCCTATTGAGTTCTGTAAAGTTAATACTTCTTACACTCTTTAATTCAGGCAAAGCTCCAGTAGAAAGTATCCTGTTTGTTTAATGTTTTCAAAGTCTATTCAGTTCAATCAGATTTACAAGGTTATGTTATTCCCTAGCCACTTCAGAGCACTCTCTTATCTCGTATTCCCTCTGCCTGTCAACCTAAGTAGCATTTTCTTAAAGGAATACAAAATGAATTTGGTCAATTGAGTACATACTCGGACCTCTTTGGGGTCATCACTCCAGCATCGACATCATTAGGCCACCCAGTTACCAGGCCACAAGCTACACGTGATAATTCTTGCAGAAGGAAGAAATGTTAAGAAAATAGCATTTCAAGGTACCTCGCAGCCTAAAACAACAAGTAGGACATAAACTCTAGTTGCCAGATTGTAAATGGGCTAACAACAATCTCATTGTACCTGAGGCTTCAGACCCAGAGAAAAGTGGTTAAAGAGGGGAGGAGATCATATAGTTATAACTCTTTTTCTTATTACAAAAACAGTACATTCTCATTGTAGAAAAAAACAGAGGCAAGTAAAAATAAAATTAAAAAATACAATATCAAAGCCAGCCTCTGTTGGCATCCTGGTATATATCTTTTCAGACAGATTTTTATGTTCACACATACATACTCTTACAAAAATAGGATTGTAACATACATAATATTTTATAACCCACATTATCTTTTTTTAACTTACAACTTTGTGAGTAACTTTCTATGTCAATAAATATTCATCCATAAAATTTTAAATGGTTGGATAGTATTTCAGTGTATAGGTGGACCATATTTACTTAATCAATTTCCTATCATTAGATACTTAGAAAATCCCCAATTTCAAATATTATAAACAACATAAAATTGAAAGTTTTTTTCTTTAAGTCTTAATTACTTCCTTAGAATAAGGCCAAGCCATGGACTTCCCAGACACATTACTAACACTTCTGATGGCCAAATTTTCCTCCGGAAAAACTGCACCCACTCATACCCCTCCCATGGCCACAGGGAGTGTCCACATCCCGACATTGGAGATGACTACTTGGTATTTATCAGTATTATAAGTAAGAAATGCTAACCCTCCTGGCTTAATTTTCATTTATTTAATGAGCAGCAAAGCTGAAACTGCCCCTCTCTTTACCAGCTGGTGGAATTGCATCTGGGCACAGTGTTTCGCCAGAGAGCAGAGCAACTCCACGCAGCAGGAAGGCTGCCGCCTGCATCACACTTTGTGTGAGAACAGAATCATCAAAAAGCGAGAACCATAAACACACTGGACCATCTGAGGGCTCAGCAGGTTCTTGTAAACATGAAGGAGGTTATTGTGTGATGTGGCCCCGCTTATCTACTTTTACTTTTGTGGACTGTGATTTTGGGGTCATATCCAGCAAATTAAAAAGCTTCCACACAGAAAAGGAGACAATCAGCAAAGTGAAAAGTCCACCTCTGGAACGAGAGGAAATATTTGCAAACCATATATCTGACAATGGGTAAATTTCCAACGTGCATAAAGAACTCCTACAACTCAATAGCAAAAAAACGAATAACCCGATTTAAAAATGGGCTAAAGACTTGAATAGACATTTCTTCAAAGAAGACATACAAATGGCCAACAGGTATATGAAAAAGTGTTCAACACCACTAATCATCAAGGAAATGCAAACCAAAACCACAACGAGAGATCACTTCACACCTGTTAGAAAGGCTATTACCAAAAAAAAAAAAACAAAAAGACATCAAGTGTTGGTGAGGATGTAAAGAACTTGGAACCCTTATACACTGTTGCTAGAAATGCAAAATGGTGCAGCCATTGTGGAAAATGGTTTGGAGGTTCCCCAAAAAATTAAAAATAGAACCATATGATCCAGCAATCCTACTTCTGCATATTTATCCAAAAGAATCAAAATCAAGATATTGAAGAAATATTAGCATTCCCTTGTTCATTGCAGCCCTATTCACAGTAGCCAAGTTATGGAAACTAAGTGTCCATCGGCGGAGGCATGGATAAAGAAAATGTTGTGTATACATACAGTAGCCCCCCCTTATCTGCAGGGAATACATTCCAAGACCCCCAGCGGATGCCTGAAACCACGGATGGTACTGAACCCCATATATAATGTGTCCTTTCCTATACATACACACATATGATGAAGTTTAACTTATAAATTAGGCACAGTAAGAGATTAACAACAATAATAATAAATTAGAACAATTATAACAATATACTGTAGTAAAAGTTATGTGAATGTGGTCTCTCTCTCACAGTATCTTATTGTACAAAGTCAACGCTTTTTCCATCTTTAAGCACTTATCACGCACTGTGGCTGAAACTTTGGCAGTTTGAGGTGTGACGGCAAAAGTAGCATGAATTTCTTTTTCCTTCTTCACAATTTCACGTATAGAAGATTCGTTCTTACCGCAGATCTTAACAACCTCAGCATACGATTTTTTTCTTTCCGTATTAAGTGGCGAACTTTCACCTTTTCACTTGAAGGAAGGACTTTTACAGTTTCTCTTTGGCATATCCAAACTGTCAGCATCACTACCATTGTGCCCTGTGGCCATTGTGAAGTAAAATAAGGGTGACTTGAACACAAGCACTGTGATACCCCACAACAGTAGATCTGATAACCAAGGCGGCTACTAAGTGACTAACAGGCAGGTGGCGTCCACAGTGTGGATCCGCTGGACAAAGGGATGAGTCAGGTTCCAGGAGGGATGGAGCGGGTCTGCTTGAGATTTCATCAGGCTACTCAGAACAGTACACAATTTAAAACTTATGAATTGTTTATTTCTGCAATTTTCCAGTTAATATTTTCGGACTGTTGTCGACCATGGGTAACTGAAACCTCAGGAAATGAAACTATGGATGAGAGAGGACTGCTGTGCAGTGGAATATCATTCAGCCTTTAAAAGAAAGAGATCCTGCAACATGTGAAAATGCGGACAAACCCATGGACAACTTAGCATCTGATTATGCTAAGTCAAATAAGCCAGTCACGGAAGGACAAGTACTGCGTGTGAGGTAACTAGAACGGTCAAACTCCCAGACGCACAGTGGAAAATAGTGATTGCTGGGCCCTGGGGGGAGGAGAGGAGGAAGTGGGGAGTTGTTGTGCATTGGTTGTGCAGTCTCAGTTACGCAAGATGAGAAAGCTCTAGAGAGCTACTGTACAACATGGTGCCCATCGTTAACAACACTGTATGGGATTCCTAAGAATCTGTTCAGAGGGTAGATCTCATATTAAGTGTTCTTACCACAATAAAATAAAAGTTCTTTAAATAACAAAATAAAGGAGGTTAAATATGTAAGGACATTTGAAGGACTAAAAAGACATTCTTAACCAGTTCTGAGATCAGAAATGTTTAATAGAACCATCATGGGTTGAATTGTATCTCCTCCAAAACTTCACATATTGACACCTTAACCGCCAGTAGCCTCAGCATCTGTGTGGAGATGGCCCACAGGAAACGGAGATACACTGCCATTCAGGGCTTTCCTAAAACCAAATGGATTCCTTAAAGTAAGAAAGTGTTGTGTGAAAGAGAAATGAGGACTGAGAAGCATAAACATCTTACCTCTGGACCCACAGAGGCAGAATTCAGCCGATGAATAAGGTTTCCTAGTTCCTTATTAATTTACTCCCAATTAGCTGGCTGGCTGATGACTGCTTGATTGCCTTCTCCCTCTGTGTCTCAGTGCTTCCAATGGAAGATCATAAAATCAGTTCCATAGATGCCAATTGCCAGTCCTAGTGGTCTAGTGGTTAAGATCTCATGCTCTCACCACCATGGCCCAGGTTTGATTCTAAGTCAGGGAAACATACCACCTGTCTGTTGATTGATTTCAAATACCAGCAAGGTCACCCATGGTGGACAGTTTTCAGAAAAGCTTCCAGACTCAGAGAGACTAAGAAGAAGGACCTAGCCACCCATTTTCAAAAAAGATTGGCCATGATGGGGCTGGCCCCGTGGCCGAGTGGTTGAGTTCGCGCGCTCCGCTGCAGGCGGCCCAGTGTTTCGTTGGTTCGAATCCTGGGCGCAGACATGGCACTGCTCGTCAGACCACGCCGAGGCAGCGTCCCACATGCCACAACTAGAAGAACCCACAACGAAGAATACATAACTATGTCCCGGGGGGCGTTGGGGAGAAAAAGGAAAAAAATAAAAAATCTTAAAAAAAAAAAAAAAAAAGATTGGCCATGAGAAGCAGTGGAGCATTGTCTGATATAGTGCTGGAAGGTAAGAGGGTGGTGCAAAAAGACCAGGCAGGGTTCCACTCAGCTGTCCACAGGGGCACTAGGAGTCAGAATCCACTCTAGGGCACTGACAAAGACACCAATACAAATGGAAACGCGTGATCAATGAAAAAGATGTTATATATCAAGCATTGGTGTTTTCCTTATTTGAATGAATAACCTGTCACTTTACCCAGCAGATATCATTATTTTAATAAATTGAGATTTATGATATTCATAATCTGTTTATTGAATTCATATAAAATTATTGAAAAGTAATATAGCATAACTCATCCTTTTCTTTAAAATATAAATACTCAGTGTTTATATCCTTCAAATGAAGGGGAACATTCTCAGAGCTTGCAACGAGCATGATTACCCCCATCTTACATTACGTATATACTGGCTGAGGAATCGAGAAACTTCTTTAATAAAGACCGTGGCAGACTGCAGAGACTGAATTACGAGTTTTAATAACCATTTCAAATATTTGCGTATTCAACTTGTTCAGAAGGTATTGATTTGTTTGCCTATTATTCTTATGGAAAACTGATCTGAAAGCATGATACCAGGCGTGCACTTCCCTCTTTGAGATTATTTCAGGTTTAGGCAGAAGGAAATAGAGCTCAGAGGCAAGGACGCTGGCAGTCATGGCAAAGAGCACCCCAAGCAGACAGACGGGGCACCTGCACTGTGCTCTCTCCAGACCAGCTTTACTCCGGACCCCTGACAGGTAACCGCTGCCTGAGTCAGATGCCTCAGAACTCACCCTGGACTTCTTCTTCTTTATAATCCCTACCCCATTGGTCACAACTCTGTCAACACTGGCAATGCAATCACCCTGGACCCTGGCCCTTTCTCCAGCCCCACTGCTAGTGCTCAGGCAGTGGCATCACTTTCCACTGTGGAATGATCTGCTAAGGTGTCCTCATGTTTTCACTCCTTTCCATTCAATCCAGCTACCCACACAGTCCCAGATCCCCAAAGTTAAATTCATGGGATAAATCTGGTCATACCGCATCCTGACGGAAAACATTCAATGACTTTTTTTGTCCATCACACCAAATCCAGACTCTGTGGCCCTCTCCTGATCCCCTATTATCCGGCCCAGCCCAGCTTGGTTAGTCCAAACTTCGTGCATCTGTATCATCACTGGACAGACCCACTCTAGAAAGATTTTTTAAGTGTAATGTGTTCATATTTTTAACTTTTTAAGCAATTTGAATTTTTGCAAAGCTTTATGCAGTGAGAATGGTTTCCCTTATTCAAAGTATAACAATAATTGAACGCTGTATGTACAGGAAGTAGAAGTAAAACTCAAGGAGGTTTTAATTACATGTTTAAAGATTATAATCCTTGCACGTGGATTTGGGGGACAATTATAATTTATTAAAATGATATAAAACTTTAGATCAATGTTCATATTATGTGATAACTAGGTTATTAACAGCTGGGCATACTTTCTATGCCAACCTGCTGCATAGTTTTTACCAATTTACTTTGGATAGAAACCCATTTCAACCTTAAGGTGTTCTCTTCAGTTATCTTATGGGGCAGGGGGGTTCTTGCCACAGACATGCTAGGTTGTTTAACATACTTGAAGTCAAATTGTTAGGTTTTCCTGTTAAAATTCCAATACACATCCTTTATTCAATTAGCATCAGCTCTTCATTTCATCCATTCTCTTTTCCTGTAGCAACTGTGAAATAATAATTAAAACACTTTGTACAGCAGAAAGAAGAGGTCCTCAGGGCTTTGCTACATAATTCAGTTGTTAATAAACGGTTCTGTGAGAATAGAAATGGTTCCACTAGGTTCTATCCATTGTGGGTGGAAAGCCCAGCATATAAAATTGAATTATGATTGTTTTTATTAAAAATGAGAATAATTTTAATTGAAGAATGAAGCAGCACTTTCAGATTTAGACCATGGAATCTAACGTTCTCACTTGAGGAGTGAGAAGTAACCTGGCTAAGGTCCAGAAGCTTCCATGCCCAGAGGTCAGGGCTCCCTTCCCAGTCTTACACCACCACCACCGAGGCTGCTGGGTCCCTGACCCTAGCTGAATGACCCGCGGATGTTCACTGGTCAATACGGTGGCTGGAACCTGTGAAGCACTCAATGATGGTTAGTAATTTTATATCTAATTTCACTTTCTATTCCACGTGAAAGGAAAATATATTTTCACAAAATTACAAAGCCTCCAGCTAATAAGTCTACAAGGTGACAAGGGGGTTTGCAGGTCACTGACTTTTCTTGAATATTCAAGCCATGATAAATCACTTTTGCCACAGCCATTTCTATATGAAGTGGCTTTTGGCCTAAAAGTACTTAAATAATCATTTCATTTGCCATATGTAGACCAAGATGTTGGGTCTGCCCCAAATTTTTAATCCTGTAATTGTTTCCAGATAAATTTTGAGTAATATTTATTATTCCATACAGCAAGGAAAGCAGATTCCATTTAGAGCCAAAGAGGCCTCTTGAGTGGTTTCTAATGCCACCAAAGCACATGGCCTCCAGGCCAGCCCCAGGAAGAATTGATGAATATATATGGATCTTTAGGACTATGACCTCAAGTTAGCCCTGAGGAATCCATACATATTTGATGGGGATAAATCTTTATGAGGATTTCTTAAATAGCAACGTACCTATAACTAACATGATTAATAAGAAGATTAATTAATCATAATAATTAACAATTAGTAACAATTAACTGTAATTAATTACAATATATGTTAATGACATATATTAACATAGATAATATTAAGCTATATTATATTATATATTAAAGGTAAATATAATATCTATATATATCACAGTATATATTAATATGCAATATATTAATGTAGAATTATTAGTTATATAATACATATAAAATATGTATATAACATTAATATAGAACATGTAATATCAACATACGAACAATATTAAAGAACAAAAATCATTAATTATAATAATAAATCAGTGATTTTAAATAAATATTAAAATGATTAATAATAATATGGTTAATAACTAGTATGGCACTTTTCTTTGAAAAGTCAAATGAACTTCCCCATCTTATTTCACACACTTTCTCAGAATCCCTGTGAAGTTACCGGCCAGAGACGTCAATAATTACAGTGGGACAAAGTAAAGTACCAAGATGTCTCGTTTATCCAGGCAGAAAGTTTTCCAGGAGTGACACGAGGGCATATCTGTAGACAAGGCGACCTCCGAACCCGAGCGCCGCTCTCTAAAGGCGCAGGGGCCTGAGGACAGCCCCTCGTGTGCACGAGTGCGCCCAGCAGGCTGTCCGTCTCTCCTGGGTGGTCTCCCCACAAGCACTGGCTCGCCTCCTGCCTGCTTCAAGTAAAACGACTTCACCATTTACTTTTGAACACCAGTTGCTCGAGCTTTCCAACCCTCAATGCCTCGCTTTTTATAATCCATTGGAGTATTCTGTTAATCCCCGCCACCCCGGCCACCCCCGCCACCCCCCCGCCACCCCCGCCACACACAGACCAGCCTGAATAGCTTTTGGGTTGCTTTCCAATTCAAGTGCCCAAAGCTGGGGCACTCCACGTTTTCTTTGGACTAAGAAAGCTTCTACATGAGTTATTTTTCTTCTGCCTGGTTAAAATATGCTGAAATAGTGCAAATCAGATGTCAAAGATATTTTAAACAGCAGCGTTTAACGAAAACCAAAACAAATAAATAAAACTACAGAAAACAGGAACACTAGCAGGCTTATCTCTAATAGCTTCTGCCAGAACCAAGTCCTCATTTCAGATCGTGAACAATGAGAAAAGTTTAGAAAGGGAAAGTGCTTATTTCAGTCTGACTGTGGCATTAATGAGAGATTAGGTGGAGGCACTCAGGGGTGGGAGTGGAATGAAGTATGTGCTTGTTGTGTGCCTGTGTACATGCGTTTGATTCCAGAATAATACGTAAATCAAATCCACATTTTTAGAATTATTTTTTTATCATTTCAGATTGATTGGCTTGGTTAGAAAAAAATCCATATACAGGAAATAAGAAAAGCAGAAAATCTAAGCAACCTAAGTGGGTTAAACCTAGAAACGTATTTTCAGTTGAAATAGACACTCCCAGTGATATTGAGATATATATTTTTAAAAACACACATAGATATATATTTTTATAGAGAGAGATGTTTTTACAATATGTATATATTTTTAAGAATATATATCATCACAATGAATTCAGACATATATTTCCATATGTACATATAGTACAATTATAAAATTAGCTTCTGTTTGTGAGAGTTTTCTTTTACTTCTTTAAAGCTGTAAATATGAGGACGTGGCTCTCTTTGGCAGAGCCCGAGTGGCCCTCTGCATTTACTCTCTTTCTGAAGTGAATGCTTAATTGAATCGGAAACTGTCCTTCGTGCCTCACAAGTCACAGATCTAGGTCTCAGTTAACTGCCCAGAAAAGCCCAGGAAGCTGGTGCTCAGAGCCACGGACAGTGGAACTTCAGGACCCACCTCCCGGGCAGGCTGTGACAAGCCCCAGCGGGAAAGACTCAGAGCATAAGGGTCAGGTCAATTAATGACAGTCTCTTATGCTGGCGCAGCATGTCACAGTTTAAAAAAGGTCCAAATTCTATTTGAAAAAAACACTAATGCCCATGAACTCCTGGGCCTGCTCAGCGGTGAGGCGGGCATGGTGGGTCAGGCCACAGGATTTCCTTGCTGCAGACAAAATCCTGAGGGTCTCAGAGCGTGTGGGATTTGCTCAAGAAGTGAAGGCCAGAAGGAGCCAGAGCCCAGAGCAGACTGCGTGCTGCTGTCAGATGAAGACACAGGGGTGGCAGTGCAGCCTGAGCCGGGATCCCGTCTCTGCCAGTGGCTCTGCTGTGCAAAGTGGGGCAAGTCAACCGCTGTACCTCCTTTCCTACCACCTCCGTGAGCTTTCGAGGCAGTCAAACGTGTTAACACTATAAGATGCTTAGAATGCTTGGAATAGTAACGGTCGTGGACTACTAGCTACTGTAATACATGTGGCCCTTACCCTCAGAAGCAGATTCATATGAATACCTGAAGGCTTGGGAGCATGTTCTGAGAAAACACCAAAATCAGCAATTTAAGAAAAGAAAATACCTGTTGGATTAATTAGACTGAGGACAACGTAATCCACAGCTTCTGTTCGAGCCATTCCATGTTAGTGCATCTGAAAGCTCTTTTAGGCCCCTCTTGACTGAGTATTTGTTTTAGCTTCTTAAAATCCTTAAAAGGTATTCATTAATAAAAACCAACAAATGCTCATTTTATTTTCTTAGAATTTTCTGAGCTCAGGGACTAGTACTAAGATGTTGGATCTCTGATGAACAGCCGAGGTGCAGAGCCCATGCCTTGGAACCACAGGGACCTGGCTCAGACTGTTACTTCTGATGTGGTCTGAGGAAAATTACTTCACTTTCCTGAACCTCCATTTCTCTACCTGGAACCCTATGAGCTAAACGCTTATTTCGCAAGTTTCTTTCAGAATTGAAGGTAATGAGTGTGAAGTTCCTGATAAATAGGAGGAGCCTGATATTTAATACCTCTTCTTACTATAATTGTGGTGACAAGCAATAGTTGAAATCACACCTATGAGTACCTTTTTTTGAAATAAACGTGAATTTGTTCTTGTATTCATTTCCTTGAGCTGCCATAACAAAGCCCCACACACGGGGCAGCTTAAACAACAGAAGTGCACTGTCTCAAAGTTTTGGAGGCCAGAAGTCTGAGAGCAGGGTGCTGCCGTGGGTGGCTCCCCTGAGGAACGTGAGGGTGAATCTGTCCTAGGCCTTGCTCCTTGGCCCCCATAGGTGGCTGTCTGCAACTTCACGTGGCATTCTCCCTTTTCTTGCCTGGCTCTAAAGTTCTGCTTTTCACAAGGACACCGGGGGTTAGGGCACCAGCATATGAATTTAGGAGGGACACAGTTCAACTCATAACATATACACACATGATAAACTATTAAAAAGAGCAAATGACTGATAAACACACAGTTAAGAGGTAGCTCCAGGGGCCAGAAGGAGAAGGGGATGGGATGGAGGACAGAGAATGAGGAAGTTCTAGCCCTGCCTGAGGTGATGGGTTCACAGGCGCTCATTACAGTGGAATGCTTTGTAACTTAGATACTTCATGTTTATTAGTTTATGTATGCCAGACAGATGTTTTAAAAGGAGAAAACAAGACAGTAAGAAGTGGTTTTCACTCTTTCAGAAAGCAAGAGAATTAAACTCCCTCAAGCATAAACAGAGCTCGCCTCCAGCCCAAGCACCACAAAGAGCCATGAAGCCCTTGATAGAAACTGACAAACTAAAGTCAACAGCTAGTAGAGTCTTGTCTGTGCAACATCTCCCTTCCTCTAATTGAGATTTTTATAACTATTATCGTCACTGCTACCCTACAATGCATACCCTTGACCTGACCTAAACAATTTGGAAGAATTTGTAGTCCTTGATGGTAGCACAAACTGCTATTATCAAGCATCTTCCTGGAAAGAAGACTGTTGAACCTTGGTGTCTTAACCAAAAGCCTCATTACTGCTTCCAACACTCAGATTCACCTTGTAAAGCCCCCCAAAGCAGTCCATTTCCCACAGGAACTTCTAGGGATCCATCCGGCATGACTCCCCTGAGTCTCATTTATATGGATGTGACTCCTTGAGTCTCCTGGCTCCTGTGTTTTGCTTTCTTCATTGTGGGGTATTTAGTTGACTCTGCTAAAACCCAAATAATAATGGCTGACACTTACATGGCATTGACTATGTTCCAGGTATGACTTACATCAATTCGCATAGATTAATTCACCTAACAACCCAGTGAGGTGGTGCATTAGTGCCCCTACGTCACAGATGAGAAAGTGAGATACTGAAGTGGCCCAAGGTCTCACAGCTAGTATGGAGAGAACCTGGACACACTGACCCTAAACCCAACTTCTGAAACTTCTGACTTGTCCACATCAGGGATCACAACTTCCAGTGCTGACTTCCACGTCCAAGAGGCTGGAGCATCCTCTGCAAGGTTTAAGCTCCTCCTGACGTGAATCAAGAACCATCCAGACACTACTCAGTGAACGGAAGGACTAAGCTAGAAATGGTTGTTTTATTGACCTAAATGAGTTCTTCTAACATAGCTAACCGGCTGACAGTGTGTAACTACTATCTGTATAAAATGTGCAGGAAACAGTGCTTTACCCAAACAGTGGGCTGAAAAATGTCCAGTTCCTTCAGTCCACCAACCTCTGACAGTCACAGGAACTGTTACTCAGATAATAAAGTGTTACCCAGGGAGACCTATGAAAACACCATGTATCCATCTTCACCATGATCCCAGGCCCAGGTGTGGGTTTCACCAGACTCTAGAAATTTCCGGTGGCCACAGTGGGCCCTTAAAAGGTTTGCTATCATTGTATTAGGGACTTCCTTGTCCCCACCCAAACCATGGACATAACACCCTGTGTGAGAAAATATTATCTTTCAGATTAGAGAAATCTTCAAAATATATAGGTCTTCTTGGGCAGCCAACTGGTCAACAGCTTGTCCTCAGTGTGAGGAACAATAGCAAGCCTCTCTTTTGATAGTCTCCTTCTGGCTAGACTTGTAGTTGTGGTCCTATTACTTCAACATGGCTTAATCCAAGTTCCTTTACACCAGCTGGGAAAAATTAATTTCCTAATGCTCATTTTACATGCTGTTTAGTCATACCAGAATTGGTCGTTCTAGTTCTGTTTAATGACATCCAGAGAATGGCTTAGTTGGTGTGATTTAGATAGAGGAAAAATTGAATACACATGCATACACACAGACAGTAACTAGAGATTAGAGATTAGATAATAGAGAGACAGATGGGGATATATAGATAAACCTGAAGATAGAGACCCGGTGGAGCAAAGCTACCGTTAGAATATTGAGAAAATGGTTAAAAATAAAGAAAGAGTTGGAGAATATTGAACTGAAAAGAAACCTATTGAAAATGCAAATTAGAAGGAATTTTAACAGAATCCATAGACATTATCTCATAGAGAAAAGGCACACACACAGAATCTTGGGCTTGACCATGAGTTTTGCAACCACTTATCAGCTAGACTTTAAGGAAATAGTAATTCAACTAAATTATTCTCTGGAGCAATTGGGCCATAGCCAGTTCTGAATTCTGACGTTTACTAGAATGCTGCTTCCATTCTATCTGAAGAAGGAGAGCTTCTCACCCACAATCACCTTTACAAATACAATCTCCTTATTCGCAGGAAACAAAAAGAAAATTTCAAATGAGCAATAAATGAAAGTGTCATCAAATATCAAAACACATGAGGTATAAAGAAGAAGCCTTGTTGAATGTAGTCTTAATTCTGGACTGAAGAGCTAATAGAACCAGGTTCAAGTTCCCCAGCCTAAAATCCTCTCCAGATGA